TGTGTGTGTGTGTGTGTGTGTGTGTGTGTGTGTGTGTGTGTGTGTGTGTGTGTGTGTTTGTTCTTTTCCAAGTATAAATATTATTATTATTGGTTTTGATATTATCATGACCATCTTCATCATCTATAATTGTTATTATTATTTATTATTAGTTTCATTGTTTATTATTATTGTTATTATTATTAGTTTTATTACTGTCATTATCATCATCATTAGATGATTTATTGTTATTATTAATATCATTATTAACATTAGTAAAGTATTAATAGGCACTTTTTTCCATAACCATTCAGGGAATGGGTTAAATAGGAGAGGTCTTGTTACCTTAGTAACTAATAACATTCCAGGTAATTGTGCACTTGTTAAGGTATCTCTATTTAGAATAAAATGAATTAACAAAAGCCCAGTGGACAATGTTGCCAAGCATCAATAGGCTAGCATACTATGTTCATCTTTTGAGTAGAATTGGCATATTTTCATTTCCGATTAATGGTTAACTTGTGTGTAAGGGGATGTGTGTTCATGTCAAGAGTTCCAGAAGCGTTAACAAATATCATTTTATGGAAGTTTCCTTGTGATAACAAAATTTGATTGGAAAATGAACTATGGGACAATTATTGTATTTAAATGGTTGCAAAAGAAAAAACACTTCAAACTTATTGGAATTCTTCTTCTTCTTCTTCATCCTCTTTCTGCTTTTCTTCTTCTTCTTCTTCATCTTCTTCGTCTTTCTTTGTCTTTTTTATTTATTTATTTTTTTTTTTTCCACTTTTTGTTATTTTTTCTTATTTTCATTTTGTTCTTTTTATTTTGCCTTTTACTCTTCCTTCTTGTTCTTCGTTTGTTTTCGTTTTCTTTTCATATTTTGTATATTTCTTCTCCTTTTACCCTGCATATTCTTGTATAAAATGTGTATCTATCACTTTGTGATGAAAAAGAGTGACCAAAAATTAATTGCCTGATTTTAAGATATGACTATGATAATCAAGAGGAATCAGTATCAGACTTTAATTATGCTTCAAGAGAATATGGAGGATCATGACACTGAAGACTACTTTCCCACTTGTTTGCAGACTGAAAACGAGATTGTCAAGGAGCTGGTCCAGATACTGCAAGCAAAAAAAAGGGAAAGTTTGCACTTGAAGGAGAGCTCAACAAGAGCCAAATAGATGTACAAGCATATTGCTGCTTGGTTGAAATACATTTAAGATCATGGACTCAAGCACAGAAGTTGGAGGTGTACACCC